TGTAATAAAAAATTAATTTTTGAGAGTTTTTATTTGCACCTTCATTTTTTCTCTCCACATTCATCTTTTTGTTAAAAAAATTTTTAAATAAAATTATTTAATTATACTTTCTCATACTAACATTTTTTATTTTAGGTTTTTGGATTTGTAAATTTAGATACTATTAAAAATTATTTACTTTGAAAATTTTGAAGCTTTTATAAAATTTTGGATTTTCAAATCTGAAAGTTTTTAAAAATTTTTGAATTTGTATATATGAAAGATTTAAAAAAATTTTATCTGAAAATAGAAATGAAATATAAATCAAGATGTTACGATTAGATGTATTTTGTTCAAAACTTTAAACTTTAAATCTTAAATGTAATATTGTTTTAATTTTATCATATATGAAAATCTCATAAATTATATAATTTATCGATGTGTATTCGATAAGTTATATAATTTATTAGATTTTCATATTTTTATAAGTTTTATAATTTATTAGATATGGATATATAGTAAATTATAAAATTTATCGCATATGCATATCTAAAAATTTTTAAAATTTTGATAAAAAAATAATTAAATAATTTTATTTAGAGATAATTCGGAAAACAAAAAAAAGGCGTGCAGAGCAATTTGTTAAGCATATATTAAGTTATAATTTGGAAGGATTTTTTTTTTTTTTGTTATGAATTATGATTTGGAGGCCTTGGACGTCGTTAGATGGAATTTTTTCAAAAAAGCAATACTGTCAACAATGTTGATTACTAGTTGAGTAATTTATGACTTGGAAGTTTATTTTATTTTATTTTTATGCATATTTAAATCTAAAGATTAGAAATATATTAAAATCAATTGGCTACATAAAAAATTAAAAATATATGGGTTAGATAAATTAATTTTTAATTATATTTATTTATTTGCATCAGATAGATTTTATAAAATTTTGAAAGTAGAGTGAAAATTCTTCAATAATGAAATTAAAGAAATTCGCAAGCATTGATTATTTTGATACTTTAGATGAAAAAATTTCTTAAAATTTTAAGAAAATTGTTAGAAAAATTTTGAAAATATTTCAATAAAAATAATTTTTATTTGCTATTTAATAAAATATTTGATAATTAATTTTAAAAAAATTATTTGGTAAATAGAGATACATATGGTTAAGAAGAAAAAAAAAAGGTTAGGTAAAATAAAAATAAAAGTAAATAAATTTTTTTCATAAAATATCAAATTAATTTGATAAGGGAGCTTTGGAACAAGTTATTTTCTTAAATACTCCTAAAATAAAAAAAAATTCCTTAAATTATGCAGAAAGTGTCAAAAAAATATTTAAGAAACATTTTTATATTCAAATAATAAATTAAATAAAACAAAGGAAATTAAGTTAAAAAGGACCATTTCAACTAAGACAATTTTAAAATAATATAAGATTAGTTGGTACTAATATAAAATAATAAGTGTTAATATCTTTTTTACATGTAACTAGTTCTCGAATCTTATTCTGTAATGTAAATAAGAATCATTTTTTTTTAAAGTTTTAATCAAGTTTAGAATTTTTTAAAAAATGATTGATTCAATTAAGTAATTAATCACATCTAATTAAAAAAATTGATGACAAATTATATATTTTTTGTGTTTAACGATTAAGTTCTTGAATTTGAATGTTATGACAATTACAACTGAATTTGAAATTAAATAAAGAATAAATGATAGGGGAATTCAATCGCAATTATTTATAAAAGTTTAGACTTTCCTTAAAGTATTTGCGTCTTCTCTCTTAACTTTTTTTTGCCAAAGACTCTAATTTATTATTTTTTTAAAGAGTTAATATTTGATACACTATCAATAAAAATTTTTAATTTCACAAACTATGTTAAGAGATTGACACGTGTTTCATTTTTATTTTTAATATTTATCATGAAAAGTATGTATTATCCTTTTAATTTCGTTTGTGAAATCTAAAATTTTTACTATCAATATATTTAATACTTTCTCTTTTTTAAAACTTACAATTCCTTTACAAGGCTTAACTATAATATTTACAATTTTCACTTCAATGAAGTGAGTTTTTAACACAAACTTACAAATGGATTTTAGTGGTTTAAATTTACCACTAATATTTCAACTAGTACACTTTTATCATAATATTTTTAATGTAGAGTAAGTTTATCATCATATTTCAAATTTTGGATCAATTAAAACATATTCAGTAAAAATTTTGTTGCAAATTGTTTTACAGTTCAAAGAAAATTGAAAATGATATGGAAGGGACAAAACAATCATGAAACTAAAATCTAAAATTTTATTTTATTTATTTTCGTCTTTGATTATGGTATTTTCCAATAAATATAATACCACATGATTCAAATTTTATTTTATTAATTATAAAACAGTTATTAACATAATTAATTTTTCTATTAAATATTCTTTTTTATCGTACTAAATATTCTTTAATTGCTCCAAATTTTAATGTATGATTATAAATGTGCTTTAAAATTAAAAGTATAATGATAAAATTACATCAATTAAAAAATTAATAATAAATTTTAATCTCCTACTTTAAAAAATTAATTAAACAACTTTTTTCATAAATGCACATATAGCTTTTATCATTCTTTATTAATTAATAGAAATGCAAATATATTTTAGTGAACTATTTTTTTGTCAAAATTTATTATTATTATTTATTATTTTAAATATATTTATAATAATTTTGTATAAAAATAATAAATAATAAAATAAATAAAAATATTATAAAAGTAATAAAATTAATATATGTGGTACTTCATATATTACAATTATAGTGTTTTGTTAATTATTTATATTATATTTTTATTGTTGTATTTTTATTAGTCATTTGATCAAAAGTATAGTTTTCAATTTATTATAGTTCATAAAATTTTTTGTAAAAATATTTAAAATAAAATAAAAAATAATTTAATTTTTTATGCCTTTTTATATTTATATTTATCATATTATATTTATATTTTATTATAGTAATTTAATATTTAGTTAAGTTTCATGTAATTTATTTAATATGTAATTTAACAAGGGCATTATAATAATTCTCATAAAATGCCACATGTCAAATTTGTATAAAACAATTGCAATGTTATTTTAGTAATTTAATATGTAGTTAATTTTATATTTTGATAAAATTAAATAAGTAATTATGAAACAATCATAAGGGTATTTACGTAATTATAATAGGATAAGTATTATATAATTTTGGTCAATTATGATAAAAAGTTATTTTAAAAATTGTGGTAGGAACAACATTATAGTAATATAAACAAATTATAATAGGAATGGTATTTCTGTAATTATAGTAAAATAGATATTATAATAGTTTTGACTAATTATAATAAAATGAATATTTTCATAATTATGAGTGTTGCTATTTGCATCCCAAAAGACTTTCAATACACCTTAAAAAATTAATTTTTAAACAAATTATTTAAATACCTATTAATTAATTATTTTTTTATCCTTTACACCCTGTCTCATTAAGTTACTAAAAATGAATTTTTGAAAACATTTTCAATGCATCGAAAATTCATTTTCAAAAACTTTTTAATTTTATCATAAATTCATTTCTGGAAAGCATTGCACTATCCATAAATGCATTTTTGTAAAGCATTATAATTATTAGAAAATACATTTTTGGAAGTAGTTTTTTACTTTAGTTTTTTTGTTGCGATCTCTTGATCAATGGCATGAGAATATTAGATATCTTTTATTGCGATCTTTAAACGGATTTGTAATAATTTCTTCGAAGTATGGGATATTTAAATTCGGCAGTACAAATCTATAATATTTTGACAAGGCATTGTTTGTTTAATAATGTTTGCAATATTTTTCCAATTTTAACAAATGTGCATTTGAAATAAATCATTAATTGTGAAGAGCATTTGTGCAAGTATCTACTGCATCATATCTGATAAGGCAATCACATTCTATTCCACATGGTAAGTAGCTAATTTGTACGAGTGTCCCTTTACACTTAGCAATTCCTCTTATACGCACATCTGTTAGAATTGCAAAAATGTTACAAACGTTATTGAATGGATAATGCTTGGTGGTTAAAAGATTAGAGGTCTTTATTGGTTGATTTGCCAATCTTGAGATCAATTCTTATGTATTGAAAATTTATTTGATCTTTATTGGTAGTCGAAGGTTGTTGTGTACGAAAATATATTTTTGGAAGTTTTTGAAAGATTTCAAAAATAAAAATGTTCAAAAATTATTGAGAAATTTCGAAAATATATTTTTGAAAATTCTTAAAGGTTTCTAGAAGTGAATATCTTGAAATTTTTAATGGATTTTGGAAATGAATTTTTAATATATTGAAGAAGTTTTTAAACATTCATTTTTGGAAACCTTCAACAATTTTTGAAAATAAATTTTCGAAATGCTCAAATCATCATCCCAAATTGCTACCTTAAATTTAAAACTTTAAATCTTTTGAAACTAAACATAAAATTAAACGAAAAAACAAAAAAAAAAAAACAAATGATTTACCTCTAATTCTAAACTATCTAACATAAAATGAGTAATTGGGGTTTGATTTAGGCTTTAATACTTAAAAGATTTAGGGTTTCGGTGAAGAAAAAAAAGGGTGTGAAGAAACGAGTATTTACATTTTTAGTAAATTAATGTTTTGGTTTGAGAAATAAAAAATGTGCTAATAATAATGGGATGAGAAGAGAGAAACTTGAGGTGCAAATAGCACCATTCTTTTCTCATTTATGAGAAGAGAGACATTTTCATTATTTCGATCACATATTACCTCTCGATAAGTCATGCAATGGGTATTAAAATATATAAAATATATATAAATATAAATGCATAAAAAATAAATGAATAAATTTAAATTATCCTGAAAATAAAAAAAATAAAACATAAAAAATCTTATTATTAATAATAAAATGAAGCAGCATAGATACTATAACAAGGAGTTCATTTTAATTTTTAACCCCTAAGAAAAAAAAAAAAAAAAAAAAACCTTTCGAGTGAAGATACGGAAAAAGGTTCCTCGTAAAGTCGTCTTAAACCATTAGAAATTTGAGGGCTTCACAATTCTCTGCCAAATTCTTCTCTGATGCGAAAACACGGACAGAAACATCGGATCAGATTGACTCCAAAATTAATAACACAGCTGAAAAACCCAGCTGATCTCTCTCTTCTAGCTGTCTGCACAACAGGCAGGCCATAGACGGGATTTGGAACCAAGTATTGCTGATAGGATGGGGCTGCGGCTGGGGCTGGGGCTGGGGCTGGGAATGGAGCTGAAAACACGGGGCTTGATACAATATCTTGTGTGGGGTACTGAACCTGATCAGTTGGATATGAGAATTCTGGGAATAGCTCAGCTTGATCTGGCGTAGGAATGGCATCTTGGGTCATCTCTGCCTCGAGCCATGACGGCAACGGTGGCGCCGAGGGCTGCGTTGAGGAGCAGGAGTAGCAGCAATGACAACGGGAGGGAGGAGAGGAAGGGTCAAAGCCAAGGGACTTCCTCTTTCTCTTCTTACTTGACCAGAATTTGAGCTTCTTCACTGCTTTTAACATTTTCATGGTTTAGTCGAGAATTGAGTATTTTAGTCCTCAAATAATTATATTTGCATTTAACGCTTATTCAAAAGAAGAAGGCGCTTCAATATGCAGATCAATATACTTTTTAGTTTTTTCAAATTTTATGACCGTTACCACAACGCCACTTCTCCGATCAAAAAGTCGAGGATGTGGGGTATCACCTGCCTACTGCTCCTTCCCTCTCACTATACCTCGACAATTCAAATATGATATACTCGAAAATGATATAAAATAAAATAATTTAAAATTTTAATAATAATTTAATAAAAACAAAAAAAAATTATATTTTTTCTGTCAACATAAATTTTAACATGTTATTTTTATATAAAATATAATATAAATGATCAATTTTTATATACACATATATAAACTATCAAGTCTTATCTCTTAACATATTTGATGTTTGTAATCATAAAAATAATAAAAATAATAAGATATGAAAATAATAATAATAAAAAAAAACAACATGATTTAAATTTAATAAAAAAGTATATAAATTAGATATAAACCAAAAAATCATATTATATTTGACAAAATAATTTTTACATTTTTTACATGTTAGATATAAAATAGAGAAACATACATAAACAACTTATCAAATCTAACTTAAATCTAACTGTATCCCTAGAATGTCGTACATCCCTGGTAACAATGTTTCAACCAATACCATCGACATTCGATATTATAGCAATCCCTTAAGAAGCAAATGAACACTAGAAAAAATTACCCAGCACTGACTTAATCTGCTTGAGAAAACCAAGTCGTTCAACACTAAAATACTCGACAGAAACGAAAGGGAAAATTATAAATAAATTATCAGCCAAGTCCTGGTTAGTTTTCTTTAACCCTAAAAAGTGACAACAAAAATGCAACAGATCCAGCTACTACAGAGAACAAACAACCAATCTACATGTAATTAGTTTAAAATATAAAGATAATTTCTCATAAATTCATTAGACTCAACGTAGATAAATGTGGTTGGACGAAATCCAAAAAGCCTTGCTGCTAAATAAAAAGAAAAAAACAACCAACTGAAAACTCGAATGAGGCAGTTATGCACGAGGTGATGCTTTCAAGCGAGAAAATGAAACAAGAGCATCATGTGAATTAAGAAAAAGGAACATTTATTGCCTGTATAATTCTTCCCACTAAAGAGAAACCAAAACAAAACACATCCAAATCAGCAGGGTAACCAAAAGATAGCAACCCTCTATATATTTATATACAAAGGACAAGTGTGCCATGTTGTATATTATATAACAAAAATAAATTGACAAATAAAGGTTAAAAGGAAAACTAAAAAGGTAGGTGTTGGTGGTGGAGGTGGAGGTGGAGGTGGAGGTGGAGGTGGAGGGCAACTTTCATTTGAGCACCTGGAGGAGAAACAAACTTTTGAGCCTACTTAAATCCGAATGAACAATCACTATGAGAATTGCTTCACAAAAACTTTTTAAAAGCACATCTTACTCTCCAGATGAATATGTTGACAGAACAGCAGGCTCCTAGATATGGATAATGTCTCAAGCCATTTTAGAATGGCCACTTCACGGTGGTATATAATCTGGGTAATGCATATATAGACAAAATCTTGAGCACCGTGTTCCTTTTTTTTTTTTTTTTTCTCTATCTCTTCTATAGAAGCACTACGCTCCTGCAGTGCATAAAGGCCCAGCTACCTTAGCACCCAGGACCAACAACTGACGAACGGTCTTCTGGGTTGACAACTGTGTCAACACCAGGATTGGCTGGTTTGATTTCATCATTGACTGGAAGTTTTATCTTGGGTGATAGCTTTTTTACTTCCTCTGACGTGTAGATAAAAATTTTCCTCACCATGCAGCAAAATTCACTGCAATAGAAGTTCACAGGATCAAATGGAATCAGTAGCAGAACCACTCTCAGATTCATTACTGTATCATAATATCTCAATTTGATATTTTCAAACGTTCCAAGCATTTTATTTGATCAATCATTCTCGCAAGAACAATAGAATTTTGTCTGATGAATTATTAGAGATGAAAGAAACCAAGTGAAGCTCATTTCATATTATACAATAGAATTTAAGAGGTGAATTTGAGTTCTTTTTCCATTACTATTTCCCCATCATTTTAGCAAGTGGAAAATTTACATAAAATAAAAATAACTAATTATGAAACATCTTAATGGCTGGAAGCTAAGAATCAAACAAGAATGTAAGTGAAGGATTTAGTAACAGTGAGAGAGAAAGGATGACAAACTTACTTCCAAGGATCATCTCCAACCATCATCCTGTCATCTTCATCATCAGTATAGACAACCTGCCAATTCTTAGCAGATCCACAGAGCTGACCTTTAATGTCAAACATCTCCTCCAGCTTCCTTAGCAAGTCATCATAACAGTCAAATCGTGTCAAATCGACAGCCCTCCCAACTGCCATACCTTGCATGTGAACCTGAAAAGAAGATAGGATTGCTGCTACTGTGTTAGTAATGCGCATCAACATCCTTTTATAGAAAGTTAGAGAGAAAAGTAAATCTACTGAAGTTCTTTGCAGCAAAATTACACAAAAGATGTTCACTAGAATGTAAAATCAATCTTTTTAGAAGGATCTCCATAGAGACAGAATTTTGGACTCAAATGTAAATAGATCTGGACAAAAACATCACAAGTTTATGTAAAATAGACAACAAAAGGAATTGCAATCTTTTCAGGGGATTCTAGCATAAAAAGATATTTTCTTCTCAGGAAAAAAAAAAGTGATTGAATTACCTTTGTGCAGCTCCGAATTTGATTGCTCTGTGACTCCTGAGGGGATCTCAGGCATGACTTCTCAGGATCACAACTTATAGAAGGAAGATCAGACCGATTAAGATTTGATGGATCAGAGAGCTGGTCAGAGTCATCATCTAGTGATGGAACAGGCTGTTCATCTCCCCCAGCCACAAGGGAATTTTCTTCCATGTTCACATTGTCAAGTAACTGAATACCAAACAGCCTGCAGCCATTCCCGGTGCCCTGCTTTCTTTCACTAGATTCTTTGTTAATAACTGGCGCAAAAGATTCTGTAACACTCTCCACTGGGTTAGACCAATACATTGAGTTACTAGAAACTGCAGCCAGGGAGCCATTCCCACTAAAGCCAACAGAGTTAGGCTTTGCAGCAGAGGATAATTTTTGTAATGCATGTCCCCGTTGTGCATCACAATACGAGAAGGGAGATTCAACTGATGATTTCCACATACCTATAGCATAAAGTGTTTAATTAAAATCTCAAGCAAGAGTTTTTTTTGGCCAATAAGCAGAGTTGAATACAGGTACTGACAAGTAAACAATCATACCGAGTGAAGAAAGATCTGAAGATGGTAAAGATAGAACAGGTGGTCGAGCTCGCTTGTTCCTATGCGCAGGTTGAGAGTTTGAAGAGGTATTAGTTGCAACAAGCGGCTCCAATTCCCAAGGGGACACTCTATCAGGACGCAGGATTGATGAAGGTTCATCCCATTGAACCTAAAAATAGACAAAATTGTAACAAGAGTTTCACAACTCAAATATCCCAAACACTGTTTCCTGCCTCAATGAAAAACAAATAAGACATGACAGAAGAAATTGGCTAACCTTTAGAGATCTCCACTCAGAATTGGCCCATTCAGATGATTTGTTATCCCCAACACCAACGATTGTGCCACTGAATCTGCAGGCACAAAAAGTTTCCTGGTTAACAAGCACTACCAATGTCCTAGGAAAAACAATTCAGTCAGATGAATACCTTCTTTCAGGAACCTCTTCACCCTCAAATCTCATTTTGAACCTCATCCCAACGGATAGCTTATGGCTTTGAGCTTCAAGATATTTGTTTACACCCACAATGAACTCAGACGGGCTTGTTCTGATAAATATAATGCTTGTTAGAACAAATATCCTCTTTCAGCATATATACACAAAACACAAGAATTACTCAACTTTTGTTCAACAGGGCTATAAAAAAAATTCCATATCTATACACATGGAGACTAAAAAAAGATCTTCTGTTTATTGGACCCCATTGAAAATGCGACAAAATAAGAAGAAAAACGAAAAAAAAGGAAACATACAGCCATAGAATACCCTATTCTACGCCATTGTATATATACTTTCACAATTATCAATATCACCTTCTTAAAGTATTGGATCAAATCCTCTATTTCATTTGTCTGCATCTGAGGAGATATGGCTAAATCTAATGCAGCTCATCCCCAAGGAAGAGTATACTTAATACACGCCAAAGGAAGAATAAATTATGACTTCAGAAAAGATAAAGATGCATATAGCTTCAATAAAAAAAGAATCAAATTCAGGACTAAAAAAGAATGATAAATAAATAAAATGTGCAAATATGCATTAACTCAAAATCTGCAACATAAAATTTCTAATTTTTTAATTAAATAGTAAATAACATAAATTCACTCTGATAATGATAATAACAACAACAACAAAAATGGCTAAGAGGATTGATAAAAGAAAGATGATGACAAAGGGTTACAATTGGTTGCCTCTGCAGGATGAAATACAAACCTGGGCTTGTAGAAGACAGAAAACATACTTCGCGTAGCAATGGCATGAGATGCAGTGGCAAGCACCCCAAGATGCATGCTGTGACTAGATATAACAGAAGATGGCATATTTGCCTGTTGTCTCATAAGCCTCCTCACACCAACACGCAGCTCCCCATTTGCTCCCCTGGAGAGCAGTAAATATGAATACATAGGTCAGCGGATTAAACAAAAGTAACAAAAGAGAACAGATATCTGGTTTGTTAAGAAAGATCTTGCCTCAGGAATATGAATGCATCACCAGCTACTAATTTTTTGGAACTAACAAAGACACTCCACCCAGTAGTTAGTAAGTGGCGCCTAGGTTGCCCTGCAAATAAAATTTAACATGCTAATCATAAGAACTGAGAAGCAAGAAACAATATTACCTTCAAATCACTAAAAGCATAACATCAGATAAGTAATAGATGTCTGAAAAGACAAAACTATAAATATTATAATTAAAATACCACTCTTTTTTTTTTTTTTCAATTTTAAATGATACTTGTAAATTAGAGAGATCACAAAACTAGATAAAAAAGAAGAACCCAACAGGCGGCTCTCAATGATGCTAACAGTGATCAGAAACAAAACCACAAAAGAAAAAGCTAGATCCACGCAATGATTCATCTTTCAAGAGCTCATAGTTATTTATAAAGGAATCAACATAAAACAAATTTTCATTTAATTTCTTGAGCTTCCAAGTTAGAAAATCAATTCTTCCAGGTTCCACAGGTGTTAATTTTATGATACCTGACAGATACCAATTCATTAAAAAACTAACATTAACTTAACCATTTGAAGATGATATGTGAAGAAGCATGCAAACTGGAATACTTGAAGATTTTTTTTTTTGAATTAGTTTATCCAACATAGAAAAAGCCACCTGTCCCCACATTGCTACTGACTCCATCTCCACGAAACTTTAATAGCAAGTAACAAGTGCCTAAAAGGCTCTCCTGAATTACGATAAATCATGACCTGTATAAAGCTAGTTGATTCAAATTCATAAGATGCTTGGAATTTATTTGTCTTTAACTCTACATTCATAAAAGTTTAACAAAATTCAAACAGAGAAAGTTCTATATGCACAAAGTAAAAGAGAGGTGTCAAGCAACAAGATAGCATAAAAACAAAACAACTTTGACCAAGCTTTCAGCCTAAAGGCTTGAAATTTTCCAGGTCTCACTAAGGCAACTTAGTAAAACATCAACCTAAAAAGCAACAATATATAACCTCGAAAAATATGCCGAAAATGCCACTCATTGCCATGCAAATCAGTTGCAACCAATTCCTGCCAAGGTGGCTGCTGGGTCATATCCTGGGAAAAGAACCACATAGAAAGTTCAGAAAGATTCTAAAATATGGAGTATCTCAAAACAAAGGAAATGCAATCAATGTGTTTAAGCTGACCAATGGGGGCAGACAATCATCTGCATGCCGACGCAAAACTGAGAATCCACCATGGGTGCTTGTGTCAGAAGCAGTAAGGGTCTTGCAAAACGAATGGACCATGACCGTTTCAGGTTCAGGAAGTGGGTCATCTGGGCTAGTAACCTTGCTTTGCTGGATCATATTGGAGAAGAAAACATAAGTGAGGGCAGCCAAAATGTACAGATATATCTATATATCTCATTCAAAGTAATTACAACAAGAGATTCTAGAAATTAAAGGTAGCTTTCCAACATCAGCTACATGCTATGATGGAATGAGAGAGAGAAAAAGAGACAAGGAGAGAGTGAGAGCTCACATCTACTTCAGGTACCAGAGTTATTTGGGCATAAACTTCATCTGTATCAGGTTCAGCCTGCTCTTGGAGGTAAAAGTCACTTAGCACAAGGAAATGGAAAAACTCAAAATAAAGTAAACCAATGAGTATGAATAACTCACCTTACGCTGAACAGAAGCCACTTTGCAAAGTATTTTAGAAGGCAAATTGAATGAAGGGATTTGGTGCTCTAGCCCCTGATGCATTGATGCCTCAAGCTGTACATATAGAATAAAATGGAACAAAAATTAGAGAACCATTAGAGTTTAGCAGTAGGAACATAGTGTGAAGTTATAAAGCCTACACACAAAACTTGATGACTAATGACTAATAATTAGGGACAGAAATCTTCAACAGATCTATGGAATTTTATTAGAAAAACTTGACCAAGCACAAATGCTTTCTAACTAATCTTCCAAATATATAACAAACACCAACTTGACAGTAAACATCAGGTAACTGATAAGTGAACAAGATATTACAAGCAAATGGCATGGTATACAAACATTTGCACAAATACATACATAACAAAAAAAAAATTATTACACAATCTATTCATCAAGGAAATTATATCATTCTATAAACTTTAAAAAGTTCTTTGCCTTACATGATTTGATGGCAATCCACAAATATGTTTAAACAATATAACTTAATCAGGTTTCAAGGCAATTCATAAGACCTTCATGCTTTCCCTTGCACATATTATTATCAGTGATTCACCAAAACGAGAGAATGATACCAAAAATTCAAAAATTCAAGATCCAATATACAAGAGGATTTCTTCTCCATAACAAAGAACCAAGAATCATGCTTGAAATACGGAAACATTATTGACACAAGGGAATTCAAAATAAGAACAAAATGGCCAGGGTTGACAAATCCATCCACCAAGGTTTTAAGAAGCACAAATCAAAGCAGATTAACCTTTTAACTTATGAAATATAATCAATATTAAAAAGTTATTAGATCCAAAAGTTTATAGTAAAGTAGGCATACCTGTTCCATATGACCTTGTGGAAAGTAATAAACACGCTCCCCTTCACGAGGAAGTGAGACAAGAGGTCCAGCACAGGCATGCCATAGTTCTCGATACAAAGGATCATCAGTAATGCCTTAAAAGAGTAGACAAAGAAGAAAAAAAATTAAGCCACCATAATATTTTTAATACCGAGAAAAAAATCAGCTAAGCTTAAGAACGAAGAGTTCAGCTTGAAGCAAACTGGGGTATCACTTTTGAATTTATGCAACATCGTGTAGAATCTCGTGCTAATATCATTATGGTTGCAATTAGCTCAATCCCAACTTATCAAGATTTATTTTTAAACTACAATCAAGTTAAAAATCAACCATTTCTGAATCTTCTGACTATATTTAAAACATGAAAAATATGCATAACATATCATAAGCACTCACTGAACTCAAAATTCTGTTCACTTAAGTTTAAAGAAAAAAAGAAACAATGACAAACCTGCTTGTTGTTCAGCAGATGGAAGATTTGAAGCCGCAAATGCCATTGAAACACCCCTCAGATCAGCAGAAAGCAATCAAACTATGTAAACCTTGTGCTGTGATAGAAAAATGGTTGTATTAAAGGTTTATGAAAATAAATGAATAAGTAAATATATTAATTTCCCCACCAACACAGAGCAAAGCCATTAATTAAGATTGCATTTACTATCACTTTACTGTTTGTTCTGTTATCGGGTACCTATAAGCACTGGTTAAGGATAGCTAAAATACTATTTAAGAAAAGGTTTTGCTTTTTTTATTATAAAAAAGAGGGCACTGCCTAGGAATAGGGGAAAGTTTGCAAGTATCGACATTTGAATCCAAGACACTGCCACCTCTTATGAGTAGTGTCATGACTAAACTGAGTTAAACTCTAAATTCAAAGGTTTTGCTTTTAATACACCATATTTTTACTAAATTCAAGAAAAAACAATGCATCAATTGCATTTTTCTTTCCTTAAATATCATCTTAACAAGTGCCACTAGTTACTTGTTAAGATCTTCCTTATACAACAAAACTGACTGATCAAAAGCCTTAATTATTAACTACTACCAATGTGTCAGTCTACTCTGCTTTGCGCCTTAAATGAACCCCAAATATTAATACTAAGTTAGAACCATAAAAAATAAAGCAAAACAAATAAAAAAAGGACGAATCCCAAGCAAAAATGAAAAGACAAAATGATCCAAATTGTTCTTTGCTATAAAAACAAACCCTATTTTTACTCTAAAGAACAATTGAAAACTCAATTAAAAATGGGATTAACCCCCAATGATCCTGTAATTACAGAAACCACAATATTTAAACATACGTATCATCTATGTTACAAAGAGAGAATATAATGAAAAATAGATTTTTAAAAGAAAGAAATTAAAATGAATTGGGATCCGATAAAATAGCAAATAAAAAAAAAAGAACAGTGAACAAAACTAATTGGATCAGTATTAAACAAAATGTCAGTCATGAAGTGCAATTGAAAATCAGCATTTCCTCCCCTCTTTTCTTTCATTTCTGATCAGCCAAAGGACCCAGAAAAAGATATAAATTTAAAAGAAAAAAAAGGCTTACCTTTCAGTGCTCACCGTTCAATCTGAACGATCCGAAGAAAGAAAAATTAGGGCTTGAAAAACAAAGCAGATCGAAAAATATGCAAAGGAATTGAAAAGAAAGAAAAATTAAAAAAAAAAAAAAAGAAAGAGCGAAGCTAACAGTGTAAATGAGTGGATGCGCGTCAATGTTCGGTCGAAGCCGACACGACCTCTTTTGGCTATGGCTGCCTCTTTTTCTGTTCTTTTTCTTACACACACTCCCTCTCTTTCTCTCTCTAGGTTTTTCCTTTTGTTTTTGTTTTTTTCTTCTCCCTTCTCACCTCTTTTATATAGTAAAAAAAGTTTATCACGTTAACTACGTATCGTTTTGGAAAAAAAAAAAATCTCAATATTATAAAAGATTAGTTCTAAAATTATGAAGTGGTTTTATAACAATCATAAATGTTAATTTATAATAATAAAGAAATTTATTTTAAATATTGTAATTAAATACAAATATTTTTTTATTAATAAATTTGATTTACATCAAAATTTTATAATTATAATTAAATATTTATCATTATTTTAAGATAATTTTCACAAAACAACATTCACGAAAACCAAATTTTAAAAAATAATATATAATAATATAATAATTATTATATTTAATATATTATTAATGTATAAAAATAATGCATTATCAATCTATTGTAAGTTATGTATTTTAACATAAAATGTATTTTATTTTTTTATTGGTGTGTCAAAACACAAAATTAAGACGGAGAAAACCAGCCAATACTATCTGCGTTACGCACTGCTGTTCTACGCCCTTTTTTTTTTTAACTTTCTTTTTTCTATTTCTAATTTTTTTTCTTCTTTAAAAAAAATGAAAATTCAATTTAAAAAAGAAAAAAAAAAGAAGAAAAAGGTAGTAGTGAAGGCAAGCAGGGCATCGCGTACCGTTGAAATTCCTACAGCTTGTCTGGGCTGTCCCTTAGTTCACGCACTATAGTTTCCCCTTTAATTTATTTACTTCGAATCTTACCTTAATTAATTTAATAATTCATTGTTAATTATTTAATTAATCATGTTTTATACGTTTTCGCATAATCGCATATTCTTCACGTTGCTGACCTTTGGGCTCTGGCTTTGGCTGCTTCTTTTTTTCAATTTTTTTTTTTTTTAAGAAAAGCATGCGTTGGAACCAAGTTACCAATTTTGTACTAAGAATTTCCCTCACATGACTAAAATCTTTTTACAACAAATGATGAAATTACCAAATCTATAATCTGCTATTCACCATGTAATTTATTTAAAAAAAAAAAAAAGGAAAAACAATGTGATTAAAATTGAGCCATTAATGTTTTATTCTTTCTTCTTATTTTGTTTTTAAAATTACAGATATTATGAACAACCAAAAATATTAAGGAAATATAGACCAATGGCCTATGAACAAAAAAAAAAAAAGGGATATGAACTCAATTTTTTGGCAAAAAAAGGAACTCACAATTTGAATAACGAAGGGTCTGTGTGATCTAATTGAAGTTTTTGTTAGAATAATTGTTTAATTATAAATTATTATTTAGTTTGATTTTATCATTTGCATATAAAAAATATATATTTTTTTATCATTTTATAAAATTTTTTAAAAAAATTTTCACATTAAAATGATTCAAATAATTCATTTATTCTTTTGAAAAAATTTTATTCGTCAAATTTATTAAATATTTTAATTAATTAATCATAGTCCCTTACCTTTATTTTATTTTTATTTTTATTATTTTATTTTATTAAAAATTTATCGATAAATTTTCACTATTTTAAAAATATTTGAAATATATTTTTACCTAAAACTTTTGGAAAAGATCAATCATTTTTAATTTTCTTAAAAACCAATAATCAATTTATTTTATTTTCAAAACCTTACATTTTACTTTATTTATATATCTTTATTATTAGTTGAAAATAAGTGTCAATTTTTGTTAATGAAATTTTAATCTAAATTATCCACCATTCTAAAAAGTTTAAATCAAAACTTCTAACTTAAAATTTTCTAAAAATATTAACAATTCTTGATTTTTTTTAAAAATTCCATCATTGAACTAATTTTTATTTACTTTCATAATTTTAATAATTATTTCTTAGATTTCATTATTTGAAAATATAAAATATCTTTATTGAAATTTTTATCTAATTTTTAACCTTTCTAAAGAATTAAAAAAAAATTCTCATCTAAAATTTTTTAAGAAAATCAATCATTTTAGTTTTTTTTTTTTGTTAAATTTCATCATTTGGATAATTCTTATTTACCTTCCAAAAATTTTAAAGTTTTTCATTTGATTTTATTTTTTTAATTCATATTTTATTTGAAAATAAATGTAAATTATTTTTATCAAAATTTTAATCTAAATTTTTCATAGTTCAGAATAATTTAGAAAAAACTTATCATCCAATAATTTCTAAGGAAATAAACTATTTTTAATTTTTTTAAATTTAATTATTGGATAATTTTTATTTGCTTTCAAAATTATAAATAAATTATATTTTAGAATTTACCAATTATTTATTTCTTACTGACTTATAAGTTATTTCATTTTTATGTATTATATTATCAAAATTAAATTTTCAAATATTTATTTTTCGCTAACCTATAAGTTCTTTATTATCTTTTATTTACTATGCTATCAAAAATTAAAATCTGTCCTACTTAAAATTTTAAATAAATAAATAACTATTTAAATGAAATAAAAATAAAATATAAATAGAATAAAAAACAAATCAAACAAAAAACAAATGAAGTAAAAACGAAAAAAGAATAAACAACATACTGGTCAGGTTAGTAGCGGGTACTGCGTGAATCCTTGTAGGTCAGCCGCGAATCTTTGCCTTTAATCTAACGACATCGTTTCAGTTTAAAATATATACCCCCTTAAAGCCTTTTTTCTTTTTTTTTTATTTCTTAGTTTTCATTCTCTCTACCATCTACTACTGCCTTTTCCTTTAAGCTATTTTCTCTCTGTTGCCTGTGCCATCAATTCCAGAACTCAGCAGTGTTCTGTCGTCATCGTACATCGATCATCGAAAATATCCCAAAAATTACTTGAAAAATCCTCTTTTATATCCTCTTCACTTCTTGCAAATCAAGCTTTTGGTTTTGGGTTTAAAACCAAACCATGCCCTGTTAAAGCTAATAATATGAATCTTTCGATATTCCAAAATAATTTAAATAAAAATATGAATAAAATGAGGTGTTTATAATAAATATTATTTAAATAATTTTTTAAAGAAAGTAAATAATTTTTTTTAATGTTGTAAATAAAAGTTAAAATAGTGTTTGACAAATTTAATATAAGAGTATTTTAAAATATTAAAAAATATTTGATAATATTTTTATATTTTTAATAAATAAAAAAAAGTAGTCAATTTTTTTATTAAACTAAATTAAAAGTTTTTGTTGGAAAATCTTTCTTGTCTAAAAGATCGTTGCTGATGAAGAACACTCACATTTTTTACCGGTGGTTGATTATTCTTTCAAATCTTGTATTGGTTCAGAAATGGAGTCTTCAATGTGGAAAGGAAATGATTTAAAAGAGTGTTGTACATGCAACTTTCTTAGAAGCTTATTTCTTCTCAACCAATTATGATATGCAATTGAGATTATGGTTGCAGTTTAACTCGATTTCGATGAATTTTGACTTCACTTGACATTATAAGATTAATTTTTTTTTTTAAATTAAGTTTCGAATAAGATTGAGTATTGTTAAAAAAAAACTTGAGGTCAGGTCAGGTCGAGTTTGCTTGAAACCCAATCCAATATTATATAAAAATTATATATATTTTAATTTATATATATATATTTAAAAATTAATATTTTATGTTTAAAAAATAATATTTTATTAATTTCGGATCGAGTCGAGTTCGAGTATAAAAATGAAAAAAAATCGAATTAAATTCAAGATGAGCAAAAACTCATTTTGACCCAACCCATTACCAACTCTAATTGAGATTCATCGGATAGCTTTATGATATAATATCACCGAATTTCAAGATCTCAATTCTCAAGGAAACCTTGACTATTGGGTTCAAATTTATTCAATTCAATAATAAGTCAACAAAATTCTTGAAGCAAATTTTTGCAAAATAAAAGTAAAAATTAAAAGAATTTTCTTTTATTTAATAATTTTTGGAGATTATATTCTTCATTCATGATAAATTGAAATTATTTTTTTTTTTTGGGTTTTTTAGACACGAAATTTGTATATACAATATAAAAAGTAGCAATGGAAGTATTTGAAATACTATGTAGTTAAGATATATTTTTGACTTATTTTCTTCTCGCTCAAATTTTTGACTTCATTATAATTTGATCTTTTGAATTTAAGGATACGAAAGTAACTTGGTCCAAATTATCAAGTTTAGTCAACTAAAAAAAATTTCTTTTGAAATGGATTTTGATACAATTATCCCAAAGTCAATGCAAAGGTGCAAACAAATTTGGCACCAAAAGCAAATTAAATTTCAAGATTTGCCTACTAGCTGCATTAAAAAAATTATGTACATAAACAAGTCTTGAATGGGCATTCGTAAAAGGTGAAGATTTTTGGTCAATTACAAAGTGGCACATGTCCTTTGAAACTTTTCTTTTAATTATATTTAGGGATCAATTAAATTTTTTCATGTGTTACAAAATAAATTAATTTAAGATTTATCAAAGTCACTTGGCAAATCAAGATAAAACATGTGGTTTGACTAATCAAAATTCAAAGACTCATGACCAAACAATCAAAATTCTTCTATGAGTCATCAATTTTATAACTAGATTAATTAAATTAATTTAGAGATAAAACCAAATTATGACCCATCAAATTCCCAAGATTGCTTTGATCATCCAATTAAATTTCATTAATGAATCATTTTCTTTATCTCTAATTAAATTAAAAGAATTTAGAGATAAAATTAAACCATTTAAGTTCTTATCAAACTCTCTCACCTAGCGTCGTTAATTGGCATAATAAATAAAGAGCTAAAATTTGGGAAAAAGAAGATTTGAAGACACTTTAGATAAACAAATTGAAGACAATTAGGGAAAAACATTGTGGCACACAATTTGGGAAAAGAAGAAGTGAAGACACTTTGGGGAAACAAGTTGGGGAAAAAGAAGACTTGAAGACATTTTAGGTAAATAAAATGGATAAAAGACTTAAGACATTTTAGAGAAACAAGTAAGTTAAAAATGACAATTAGAGAAAAATACACAAGACCACAAAGGAAAATCACAAAGTCTTTAAAGTTCTAACAAACAAATCCAAGTAAGAATATCTGA